ATCCAGAAGAAACCCAAATAGCAGCAAAGCAGGGCATCACTAAGACTGAACTTATCTTAGGGAAGACTCCTATGGACTTGTCTAGTAAAAAGAAATCAATTTGAAATGCCCTAGTGAGAACCTCCCACCATGAATGCCAAAGTAGGAGTTATGAAATAGTTTATAAATTGATCTAGCACTTTGGTTCAGTGAGCCTTGAGAAACATGAATAAAAGAGAACATAAACAATCAGCACATATGAATGTCTCCTTTCCAGTCTAGACTGAGGTTCCAATTAACTAGAGGTCTCTAGCACACCATTCATTCACTAAACTCTGCAATATACCAAAGAACGCATGCTGAGGAAAACACAGCATCATAACCAGCCTTGAAGAAACGATTCAGTACACACACAAAAGTGCAATTCCAGAAATGTAAATATTAGTTATGCAAGAAGAACCAAGAAGGCTTTAGGGAATGCATGAGTTGAATATATTAAACATCAGAAAACTAGAAAGGAGGGAGAAGGAAAGAGATGAGGTGGAGGACAGACAGGGAAAGGACACAGGCCAGGGCAGGGGCTAACGAAGAGGGCCCGGCTAAGGCATAAGCAGCTGAAATGGTCAGAATGGCAGGTTCAAAACTGGACTGCAAAAAGCTTCCGCTAGGTAGGTAACAGCATTAGAAATCTGAACTTCATTCTGTATAGACTAAAAGTTGTTGAATGACAGGAAATGAAAGATTAAAGGTTTAAATCAGAACTATTAGTCTCAAGCAATGATTGGAATATGGAGGAAAGGTAAAATAGCTTTGGGTGGGCTCAGAAAAGCTAGCAGACTAAACCATAAAAGCAGGCAGTTTATCAAACAGGAATGATGACATAAACTCTCCTCCACCCAGCTCATAGTAGAACTAAATCATATTTTAAGAAAAATTATATACACGTGTTATTTCATGAACTTCTCACGCATTCGGTTAGAAAAGGAGGAGAAAACAATCTCACCCATTCTAACACTAAGATGCTCTTATTTCCCAGAGGAAACATGAGGTGGGGACTGTAAATCTGTGCTCCCTAAATCAGCCTCAGTTCCCAGGTGCCCCTCACAGCATGAGTGTCATAATTCTAGAGCTAAAAATATGCATATTTTCACCTAACACAGCTCCTACTCAAGTAAACCACTTTCACCAGTGCTCAGAGAGAACTCATCCATCTATTCAAGCATAGAGGGAAAACTGGCTGTGCTGTACTTGCTGAAAGACAATACTCTACTGCAATTTATGTGCTATGTAAGAAACTGCTGAGAGGTATTTTGGCTCAGTTTTTGCTTCACACAGAGTTTGAACCCATTCCTTATTTATTGCCTTTTTTGTTTTCTCATCTTAATTATACTAAGCATACCAGAGGTAGCAAAGCAGGGATTTCATCCAAAGTAATTATTTGGAGGCAGAAATCTGCCTAGAACAGAGACACTTCAAGAAGCTGAAGTCAGGGAAACAAAAACAAAATCTCTGAGCACTGAGTACAGCTGCGGAAAAAGTGTGGGCACACGGGGAAAGGAGCCTGTCCTCCGCGGAACTCAGGTAGGAGATGGGTAAGGGTCGAGCCGGAAGGCACTGCGGAGGCCTTGAGAAACGCTTTCACTTTCCCACAACACCATTAGTATCTTCTTTCCCTGAGTCAATATTTTCAAATAATACTATCAAATTCTGGCAACGTATTTACTAAAATGTCTTCTATATCAGATAAACATTTCCTGAAAAGTAGACTAACACAATTTAGGGGATGTAAATATTTTTACTTTTAAAGTACAAGCTCGTGTTTATTTGGTGCAACGGATAAAATATTCCTAAATCCCCCGTGTACTTATTACACAACATCTGCTGAGCACCTACTACGTGACAGGACTCTAGTAGACACGGGAGGTACAAAACGAAATGAAACATACAGGGCTTGGGAGTGTAGCTTGCCTAGCATGGACAAGGCCTACAGTTTGATCCCTACCACTGCAAAAGGGAGAGAAGGACGGAAAAAAGCTTCGCTCCCTTCAAGGCATTTACAACCTAATGAGGGACAATACTGTAATTAGGACAACCATGTGATGATAAAAATACACACAAGATACTATAATAAAAATATATATGAGGAAATCAGAAAATACTTTTTTAAGGATCAAAAACTACCTGGGTGAAGTAAACTGGGCAGATCAGGTCAAATTAAAGCTGTGCTCCCCAAATTCGCTTACACAACAGAGCCAAACATAGAGCTTATATGCTGAGCTCATTTCAAATCCAATGAGTTGCCTAAAAATGGTGAACCATTTCAGAAAGCTCAAATCACAAATACAAACGAAATCTTCCAAATCTCTCAATGGGGCTAAAAAAATTCATATTTTTAATATGTGCCACAAGTGATTCAGAATCAAAACCAAGACTGGGTAGCAGAAGTACAGATAATCATTTCAGGCACAGGAAAGAACTCAGCATGACAGGAATATGGGAAATACAAACAGAAGACCAGAGAAAAATCAGAACAAGAGTTGGGGTCTGACTACACTGGCCTTTCAGGTCTGCAGAATATCGTGTCATGTATTGTAGTAAAGGATTTCTGACGTGAACTAATTGCTTATTGAAGCATATGGGAAATTTCAATGAAAATATTGTGCATTTCAACATAATGATAAAATGCTCCTTTAAAAACAAGCAAACAAACACCGGGTGTGGTGGCGCACACCTGCAATCCCAGCACTCAGGAGGCTGAGGCAGGAAGATCCTTGCAAGTTGGAGACCAGCCTGGGCTACACAGGGAGCTCAAGGTCAGCCTGAAATGCATAGAGACCCTGTCTCAAAAGACATTAAAAAAAAAAAAAAAAGCAAAAATACAAAGAAACCTAGCATACTAGAACACTTCTTTGCAATTTTTATTAAATGTAGTGACTAATCATTTACCTCAGGATCATTTTTACAATTAAGATAGAAGTTATAATGTTGTTTTTTTATAATGCTGTTTTAACTTGAAAATGTTTTGTAATGTATAAAATAAATTCAAGCTGTATTTTGAAATTTTAAATTTCAAACTGTTATTTCATAACACTTTACTATTTTCTGACTAAAGTTTCCCTGTAATTGTGTTTTTATACTCAATTCCAGGCAAGCGATAAATGATATATCCATGAACAACAGGAACACTTACCAACTACACAAAAAGCAAAACATAATCTTTTGTATGGATTTCTATTTGTTAAATAATAAACAGTTTAATTCTCTGTTTAAATCGCCAATTCACATTCCAGAAGAATGACTTCATTAAACAGAAATTTGGACAAGCAATCATTTGAAACAGAAATAAGCTGTTAAAGAAAATTCTTTAGAAGCCTGGGAACAAACCTAATAAACATACAAAATAATACCACTTATCATTATCTTCTATTTCTAAAAAGATCCCCCAAATCTTAAGCCATTGAAATATAGCTTAATGATTGATTCATAAAGCAGATAGCAATTTACTTACAGAGTAAAAACTATTGCCAAACCATGCATGGTGACTCTGGAGGAGCAGACACAACACAGGCCTAACAGCAGTTAGGGAACAAAGGATTAACCACATAGACCTAGGACCAACTGACAAACAACCAGCATTATAGCTGGTATCTTTAGTACAACAAACCGACCACTTTCTAGACTTAATTTAATGTAAATTTTAAACAAGTATTATCTAGCTGCCCTAATTTCCACATGAAATACAGGAATTAAATTAGAGTTTTGCCAGTTTCTCAGGCCAAAATGATCTAATAGATGTTTCCTGAGTCATGCACCGCTTCCTTTGCACTCCTGCAACATTTTATTCGTATCTCTGTTTTTACTGCACGAATTGAATCCTGCACAGAGGGTACTATCAGCACCATGCCATAGATGGGAAGGCATGCTGAGGACAGTGAAGTGATTTGCCCCAAATCACCACTAAACCCGCATTTCAAACTCACGTCTCACACAAAGTTCTTTCTACATCTACTCTACCTCACAACTACTAAATGAGTCAAACCTAAGCAACAGATTAACTGCAATTTCTTGGTACCACCATTTTGGTAGCAGCAAAAACTAATCATTCACAGATAAGCCAAATGTAAAGGACACGATCTGGGTAGGGGTAGAGGTATAGGCGTACTGCCTAGTATCTGAGCTGTCTTCTCGTCAGTGGGCAATTTCCCCCTTTATTCATCTTCACTGATGGCCGAGCCCATCTCCCTCACGGAAACTGACGGTGCCATCTGTTCATTCTTCCAGCTACCTGCGGCATGGACATGGGCACTTAACCTAGGTTCTGCCACTATGACATCCCCACCGAAGACTCTATAAGAACCAGCAACAGTACAAAGTCAGAACGGCAATGGCTGAACTCAGGTAGCAGGAGGAGGCAGCAACGCTAAGGTTCTACAGGCAGCAGTGGCAGACAAGCAGCTGGCAGCCACACTGTCTCCATACTGGTTTATGTTATCATTCTAGCTGTGTGTTTTCTGCTCTGTACTCTTTCTTGTTTCTTTTCAAGGCCATAGCCTTCCGAGGAATTTGGAGAACTAATCAACAAGCTTTCTGCAAATCCCTCCCACACTTTGAATCAGTCAAAATTGCCCTATATTGCTGCAGTTAATAACCATAAAGCATTTTTTTTGTTGTTTTTTTTCCAGTACCAGGAATCGAACTCACGACCTCCCGCTTGCTGGGCAGACGCTGTGCCGCTGAGCTAAATCCCCAGTCCCCATAAAGCATTTAATAAATAACATTAAACAAACATACTTATCAAATGTTTTTACCTCAGGATTGATCTTTTTTTATATGCTTTCTTATTACAGTCTTAAGTGACATCAACTTTATAACTGGTAGTATCCTCTAATGACAATAAGAAAAAGAAAAGACCTCAAATCAGGTTTCCTTACCTTTTCAAAAGCAACACAAACAAATATAATAACAGTTATCCAACCATCATCTTACTGAACTTCAAAATAAAACTTTATTAAGATTCTTACCTGTCAGGAATACCCAGTCTCTTGACACTTCTATAAACAGAAAGCGTATTTGCAACATGTCGATAATTAAACCAGAATCGGGATGTACAAACCTGAACAAAACAAAAAACAAAAATATGATTTTTATAAGTCAAAATACTTCATGGAGTTACAGAATTATTTTTCTTTAAATATGACATAGAAATTCCTTCAGAGTTTCTAACTTAAAACAGCAAAGAACATAACTATCAAGTGCTGTAAAGAGAAGCCTTCGTAAATAATATTACAAAAGGCCACCTTCATAGAAAACAAATTTGGGGGAATTTAATCAAATATTGAACCAGTTTAGTTACCCTCAATTTCTGTGATTCTATAATGCTCCTATTTCTAAAAGATTATACTCTTTAGAATAAAAGACAACATGCATCTCTTTACAGAATAGAGAAGAAAACTAGCTACTCTTGTTAGTTGTGAGAAAAAGACACAGACTAAAACATAATTTGCAAAACAGCTTTATAGGTACATTAAAAATACACTATAAAGTTATTGAACTGAACAGAAAAAAACAATTCAACCAAATTTTACACTTTAAAACAATTGCTAAAAATAACAAAGGGCCTAGGAAAAATCCTACCCTCAGCTTTAAAAGTTAGTTTCCTAGAAAATCCTTAGGTAAACAGAAATTAGGGTCAGTTGGGAAGACATCCACCAAGCACAGTCCTCCAACGGCATGCCTGCGCTTCAGCACATACGACAGTTTAGAGATAGTATAAATGCACTTGGCCCTGCCGAAGGAACTCCATGAAGCTTTTTTTGGTTTTTTTGGTTTTGGTTTTTTTTTTTAGTAAAGTGAGTTTTTATCCTAAAATCCAACAAGGAAAAGACTAAAATGTTTGGCCACATAAAAATATAAAACTTCATATGTCAAAAGTAACATAAATGTCAACAAGGAAAAACTTAAAAAACAAATAAAAGGTCTAATTTCCTTAATTAGAACTCAACAGGAAAAAACGACTAAATTTAAATGAGGAAAGGGTAAAAATAAGTATATCATAACAAAAGTGTTAAAAATAGGCAACAAAGCCAGGTGTGGTAGTACACACCTATAATCCCAGCACTTTGGGAGGCTGAGGCAGGAGAAGGAGGGTCACAAGTTCAAGCCCAACCTGGAAAACTTAGCAAAATAGGACTATGAAACTCTTAACCGTAAAATAAAATAGGACTATGAAACTCTTAAAATTGCTCACTCAACCTCAGCTATACTTTTAAAACTACATATCAAACTGATAAATATAGAAAGTCTGACAATTCACCATATTGTCAAGGTTATAGGGAAATAAGTACAGTACTCATAGCTTACTGATAAAAATGTAAATTAATATAACCCTTCCAAAGGAATAATTTGCAATACATATCAAGTTTGAAAAAAATAGTTGTCTTTTTGCACCTACCTCAAATAAGTATGCAAAAACGTGTGCTCTAGGGTTTTCACTGTAACACTGCCTGAATTAGCAAAAATAAAAACCAAAAAGCTAGAAGCCAAATCATTGCCAAAAAGATCTAGTAAAAAATTTACATGTTCCCTAACTGGAAACAGAAAAAGCATAAAATAATTTCTACCTGAATTAATCATATAGAAACCAGTACAGTATTTTCGGTGGCCTTTCTGCACAGATGAAAAGCTTTGTGCATCTATTATGTTATTAAAAAGCATACACCTAACAAACTGACCTCATTTTCACAAGCAACTTATTATACCGACAAGGTGAGCAAATATAAGCTACCAGGAAATACCAACTTAATATAAATTATCAAATATTCACTTACTGTAGTTTTTAAAATGCAAATTGTAAAAGGGGCATAAGACATGGCCCACTAGTCTTTTGAGAAGAGGGAAAGAGTAGACATAGATGTGATTATACCCACTGGAAATGTCTGAGAGGATATGCAAGACACTGGTAATAGTAATTACCCTTAGACCATAAAAACAAGGGTCAAAGTGGGAGGAATAACTTTGCAGTTGATTCCTTTCCTCACTGCAATTTTGCTATCCACCCATAAACATGGATTACCTTTATCATTGTTATTAAACACAGCAAAAATGTCTATACAAAGCAGCTTAGAAACCAAAATGGGACCCGATTTTCTTTCTCTCTCCTTCTGTTGGCAAGTTTCCTCAGAGAGTAAAGGAGCATTTCACTCACCTCTGGTCATCACATCAAGAAATAAATTCATTCAAACTGGGGGAAATGGTTAAAAATCTAAATTGCTTAACACTGAAAGAATGCATTTTTAGTACTTTCAGTTACACTCAGTCAAATTTCATAATTTTTCATTTAAAAGGCATGATTTCTTTAAATTTCACTGTACAATACTAAATCTAATGCAAAAATATTGTGTTAAATATAAAACCTGCAGTTGTCATGAAACTGCAGTAAAAGCCCTTCATCACCTCTGTTTTTCATCTGGAACCCAAATTACTGAAGTGGAAAGGGACTTGGTGAGAGGCTTCCCAGACAAAGCAGCTTTGAAATGTGTGTGGCATAAGCTCACAGGGTCTTAGTTGTATAAAAGGAGCCCTTGACAATTGATAATGGCACATATTCCTCTCTCTGAGAACTCTTCACAAGACTATCATGGAAGAGCCCTTAGTTTCCTGCACAGAAAGTACACCCTTTCAAGTTACTAATAATTTTCCTCATTTTTAATCAGTCACTGAAAACTTCTCCCCTAATCTCAAGCAGCGTTTGTTCAATTCCTTCATAAACTCTCCTGTGAGGGGCAGCGTATAGAAGTTATCCTTCCTTGCACAAGAAAATGAGCCATGAATCTATCTTATGCTGTTCTACTTAAATTCAATACAACATATACAGCATTTGCAACCACCCCCTTTACTTTTAGCAACCTGTAGATAACTACATGCTTTTATGAAACAACGCTCAATAAACTAGTAAGGCCTCAAAACTTCTGGCACTCTATCTTTGGTTTTAGTAAAGTTCATTATGGTCTTCTGTGTTTGTCCTGCCTTTCTTTTAGTTGAACTCCTCTACCCTCTTCCTTTACCCTTACAATTCACGTTTCTGAGTTTTCTTCCTTTGCCAGCACGCACGCTAACAGCTCTGAAACAGAGTGTACTGTTTCCTTTCTTTTTCACAAATACCGGCTTCCTTCCCCGTCTCTTTGACCTTACACTTCATTTCTTTATTTCTTCTTCTTGCTGACCCTCACTGTCATTTGAATGTGACCCCTAAGTTCCATGTGTTGAAAACTTCTCCCCAGTTGCATATGCAGATGGTACTCCAGGGGTTGGACCGAAGAGAAAATTAGGAATAGATAAGGTCATCAGCATGGGCTGCAGGAGGCATCAGAGGCTTTATAAGAAAAGGAAGAGAGAATTGAGCTAGCAGACATGCTGAGGCTCACACGGGGATGCCCTCTAGAGCTCAGGGTAACAAGAAGGCTACCATCAGATGCAGAAGAGATGCCAGGGGCATGCTCTCCAACTTCACCTCCAGAAATGTGAGCCAAATAAACCTCTTTTCATTATAAATTACCCAGGCTCAGGTACCATGTTGACAGTCATAGAAAACACAGTAAGGTAACCAACCCTTCTGTATGTTTTTTTCATTAAGTCAAACTTATTCTATCTTCTAATAATGTAAAAACATCATTAACTAGAACCACAGTAGTGAAACTATCGTCTAAATATAAGAAAAGTAAAATTGATTACATATATTCTATTTACAGAATGAATAATAAAACTATATGAATCTAGACAAAATTAAAGATGTTAATTCATGCCAAGGGAGAAAAAGCTCCCCCCCAAAAAAGCAATAGGCTAATAAACAAATATTAGAATATTAGAATAAATAAGTAAATCTTAGGATCACAACAATGTAAATTAAAATAAAATTTAATTTGGTAAATTAAATAAAATTTGGTAAATTAAATAATTTTAAATAATTAAATAATTTGGTAAATTAAAATAAAATTTACTTTGGTGCCCAGAAGTCATGAAAAATTAATACTACATGACTGACTTGGATTTAGACAAACAAGTTGTGTTTTTAATCTTTAAAATAAAAAAAGAAAAAGAAAAAAAGAAAATCAGTCAAGTTCACAAAAATGTATGTTTAAGATTATTCAACACAGTTGTGACTAAAATAATAAAAAGTTTAGATTCCAAATGTTAATGAACTACACATTACTCAAATGTTAATGAACTACACATTACTGCACATTCACAATATAGAAAATACAGTGTGTGGAAAATACTATATTATACCTGCATAACTACCAGTAGGGAAACAATTTCAGGATACCTTAAAGCACTGCAAAACAGCAGGAATAATGATCCCAGGTGAATAAAATCATATATCTAACTTCATAATTTTCTTCTTTATATGCAGAGAGATAGCACTCTCCAAAGTACAGGCTCTAGAATGTGGGACTTTTAAGACATTTCCCTCTATTTTTTTAATTGAGGTGATATTCACATGTAATTTTTAAAACTTTGTGTATAATTTGAATTTCCTACAATTATAATTTGTTATTTTATAAATAGAAAAAACAATTCTAAGAGTAAATCAGCCTTAGTAGAGAGCATTTATAAACTAGTATTATCAGTAAGATATATAATTACTCATTGACAGTATTAAGTAAGTCTACGTTTCACAACATGCTTTCTTTCACAACAGCACCCCTAATTTATTGTTGTGTTTACTTATTTGTTTTGTTTTTGTTTTGAGACAGGGTATTGTTATATAGTCCAGGCTGGCCTTTAACTCACTATGTAGCCCAGGATGGGCTCAAACTCAGGGCAATCATCCTGCCTCTGCCTCCCAAAGTCTGGGATGAAAAACATGCACCACCATACCTAGCTCTTATGTTTACAGATCACCACTTGACTCATAAATGAACGGCAAGAAATGTTATTAAAATTTTATTCCTTGACATGGTCAATTTAAAATATAGCCAAATCAAAGTAAAAAATTTCTGTTAAAAATGTAAGAAAACAAACTATTTTCAAATATTTGAGTCACATAAAAATTTCCAGATACATATTGAATATGAGCAGCAAGATGTTTTGTTGTTTTTTGTTTTTTTGTTTTTTGAGACAGGGTCTCGATAAGCAGCAGGCTGGCCCTGAACTCACTGCACTCCTCCTGCCTCAGCTTCTCAAGTGCTCAGATTACAGGCATGTGCCCCCACAGCCAGCTCAGCAAGATATATCATTATAGAATACACTTACCAAAACAGCCCAGTTGTTTGTATGGCCACTTCTAAAAAATTGTTCTGCTTGATCCTATCAGTCAAATAAAAGCAAAATGATTAAGAAAAAGTCACAATTTCCCAAAACAAAGATAAAGAACAATATACAGTCACACAAATTAAGATTCACATGTTTATGAAGCTACTAGTATTTGACCTTATGAACAAATAATCAAACTTAAATTGGAAACCAGTTTAAGCTATAACATTAAAAAAAAAAAAAAAAAAATCCTAATCAACCAATCCCTGACCAGGCTAGAGGTTTAACTAAGCAACATGGCAAGACCCTGCCTAAAAAGAAGAAATGAAAAATGTGTTTTTGATTAACATTAAAAAAAAAAAAAAAAAAAAAAAGCCCTAGTTTAAGATTCTATATTAGGGGGAAAAAAGCCCTGAACTAGAAAAGCAGAGATATATGTTTCCATTTTGCATGACACCATGATTAAACAAGGTAACCCTATGTACGGCACTTGCCTAGCACACGCACCAGACCATGGATGGGGCCAGGAGGGGAGGGCTTACTTTGCTCAAGACTCTTTTGTGTGCAAAATAAAAGCAATGCCAGCCCTACATCAGTGTCATTTTATAAGACTGAAATAGTATGCATGGAAGAGCTTCAGCTTTAAAAAATTATTAAGCATCATACAAATGAAAGCATAGTATATATGTCACATTTCATTATTTCCTATACCATGAAAACTGAAGAAGTAAAAGTGTGCTCAATAGAGGAAATAGGATGTCTGTTTAAAAGTTTAACAGGCCATCATTTAAAACTATAATCTTACCCACCATTTTCCTCACCATGATTTATTTTCTCCATTGTCTTTATCATCCTCTTGCATATCATTAACTTATTTGTGATGCATATCATTGTCTCTTCCCAGGGGATATAAGCTTCAGCTCAAAGGACAGAGCCATGCATCCAATTACATTCACTAATGTACTCCAAGTTTGGCACATAGTGGATTTTAAATATTTTTTAATGAATGAAAATGCTCACTTGTCTTTTTTGGCAGTGAACAAAGCAAGAGTGTCTCCTGGAAAACTGAAACCACATGGATGATGGGTTCAGAATATGAAGGTATGAAGTAAAGGCTATAATATAAAGCTGCAAATTTCACAATTTCCATCTAGATTTTACTCTCCTAATTCCTCAAGCTATCATTCTCTGCAATTAGAAGGATGAAAATATTCATGCCAAGAACTTCTCAGAATTAATATTTCACTTTTTGTGAAATACTATTACAGACAGTTTTTATCCCCATGAGAAATAACAGACTACCTTCTTCAACCAAAACAACCCTTGAATTTCTCACAGAAGTCTTTTTAATCCTTTGCTTAATAATCATTGCTATTGGTTTTCTAAAATCTTTGCAATTATGCTAACTCAGTCAATATTGGTCACAATAGTAAACTTAATAATCAGACAATGGGGGGCTGGGGATTTAGCTCAGCGGCAAAGCGCTTGCCTGGCAAGCGCAAGGTCGTGAGTTCGGTTCCCGGTACCGGAGAAAAACCAAAAAAAAAAAAAACCAAAAAAAAAAAAAAAATAATAATCAGACAAGTGTGCTGAAATAACCATAAAAACCACAGTTTTTGTTTTTAATGAACAATATTATTGGACAGCTGTTTGTTTTTTAACATTTTATCTCAAATGCACCCATATCTTCCACATATGCTTCTCATTTTCCATTCAGTCTTAAAATTGGGAATGACTTCTTTCATGTTATGATTCCCTGCATAAAAATTAATATTTTTCCTGTTAAAATTTTATTCAGGGTCCATTCCTACTATATGTTGGATGCTTTATTTAAACTCAGTAATATACCTGATGAAACATATTTTGCAGCATACTGCCATGTACAATTTCAGAAATCTGTTACAGTAAGTCTGGATTATATTTGTCATTTCTAGACATAAAAACTTCATCATTCATTACCATCTTGACACCTAGTAAACATGTTTTTAATTATATATTAAAATAATAATGGATATAATTCACATTGATCACAGATCTGCTGCCAAACAATATTAATTACTGGAATAGTCAGAATGTCTGTATTCAAATATGGCCCTATTACTCAATAGCTAAATACACTTATGAAAGTTGCTAGCTTTCTCTATGCCTCCATTTCCCCATTTATAAAATAGTAATAAACTATCTGACTGACAGAATCCAGGAATAGTGATTACCCAACATGTATATGGCTATTTTAATCATCTGGCTAACAAGAAAATTTCAGGAAATATGAAAAATTCTTCTACTTAATTACGCATAAGTAGAATACATATTTTGTCTCCCTCCACTCCAAACTATTCCCAGTAGCTGACTAGATGTCAGAGAAAGAAACATGCTATAGTGAGTAAAGTATTGATTTGGGAATTTGAAGACCTGAGCCAAAATCCAGCTAGGATAAGCCACTTAGCTCTTTAGACTTGCCTTCTCATGAAGAAAAGTAAGACTTGAGCCAAATAATCTCTAATGTATTTCCCAGCAAAAGTCCTATCCCATTAAGACATCAGTGAAAAATTAAGAGATTGTGAAAGTCTTCTCATTATCTAAAAAACACGGTCACTGTAAAGTTATTTTTCTTCATATAGTTAACGGAACATTGATTATGTGTCAGGTACCATGTAATGTACAGTGATATTCAAATGCCACTTTCTCTCCAGAGTTCTACAGTTTAGTAAATAAGACAAACATGCAAACACATTATATTACTGTAAAATTCATTAATTCATCATATTCATTAGATATCAAGGGGCAGTCACTGCTCTAATTGTTCAGAATACCAAGATGGGCAAAAATACTTGCCTTCCAAGAGGTTACTAGTGGATTGACATACATTAAACAAATAACAGCAAATTACAAGTCCTGTAATAGAAATTCACCCAATATTTTAAAAAATATAACAGGAGAACCTGAGCAGGATGTTTTCCCTAAAGAACTGGCATGTGGGTTAAGATCCAAAAGATGAAAAAAGAAAAGGAAGACAGAGAAAATGTGGGCCAATGGCAGAATGGAGCTTTTCCATTTAAGAAATGGAAAGAAGTTTAGCACAATTAGACATTTGAAAGGGTGACGGAGAGAATTGGAGATGTCAGCAAGGTGCTTTGAGTCACAATAAAGAATTTATTCTTTATGTTTTGAGCAACACTAAGGTAAATATGAATTGCATGATAAAGATTTGCATTTTACAAAGTTGCTCTGGCTGCAACTCTGAGAAGAGTTTGGCAAGAAGAATGACCCTAGGCAGACCAGTTGGGCAACTGCTGCACCTTAAGTGAAAGATGATGGAATCATAGTCAAAAAAATACATGGGTTATAATAAATGAGTGCTCTACTAACTACACAAACTACAACAGTAAAGGCAAAGACAAGGGGTAGGGAAAGGTTCAACAGAGGTTATGCTTTTATTGCATCTAATAAAGACAGAAGAAACTGGAGGCGAAAAGCCTGAAAAAAATATAGCAAGTAGGTAACTATAGAAAAACAATAATGATATCCAAAATGAAGTATGTAAAATAATCCACTAGGATAAAGGAAGAAACCAGCAGAACTTCACCTGCAATCTTTCTTCAACTGAGAGCCTGAGGTCCACCAGTCAAATGTCAAGGTACTGAAGGTGGTAGGAGGAGGCTTCCAACACACAATAATAGAAAAGCAGGCAGGAACCAGATCATAATATTTAAGATTTTATTCTGTAAGCAATGGAGAAATATTGGATTCAATCAGAATAACTTGATAAGCCTTGTATTTTGTAAAGACTAGCATTAATATGAGGCTTGACCCAAATAACCTCTGATGTATTTCCCTCTAATGAGGGAGTATGGAACCCTGGAGGAAGCAAAGGAACTCGAATAGTCTAGACAAGTAATGATTGAAGCCTGGATTAAACCAGTGGAACTGGAGATATAAAAGCACATGTAAGAATCCAGAAGATATAGTTTGGTGATACTCATGATGTGGGATGAAAGTTTATTTAAACTCCAGATTTCTGAGTTATCCATAACATTTCTGGATTAGGAAATGTGGGAGGAAAAGAGGTGCCTAGTTTTTCATTGTCCTTTTTTTAAAGGGTGGGATAAGCAAAAGATAAAATTTTAGAAGTGGATTTTCAAATGTCTGCGAACGTATTCTCAAACGTTCCTCATTTTCAAATGTTCCTCAAAACATAAAGAACAAATTCTTTATTATGACTCACAAAGCACCTTGCCTACATCTCCAATTCTCTCCGTCACCCTTTCAAATGTCTAGTTGTGCGACTATCTCGGCCTCTTAGCCAGCTGCAAATGCAAGCCTGCAAATGATGGTAAAGATCTACTTTACAGCACTGACAAATCACTCAGCACTGGGTAGTGAAAGCATTACACAGACCCAAAATGTGTCCTGTGGCCACGTTTAAAACGACGGGGGATCCCGTCTGAGTAAACGGGTGGGTTGGCGAGCCCAGGGCAAAACCCCATACCCATCGGATCCCCATCAAGAAATACAGCATAGCGGTGCACTTCGGTAGAAGGAAAGCTGATGCTGCATTCGGGGGTGACACTGCACCTGCTAGGAAAGACTGCACAGGAGTCGGAGCAATGGATCAGGTCCTCCTCGGACTCTGAGGATTTGCCTCCATTCATTAGTCGTTCTGAAAGGCTGAAACAGGCCGACGCTGAATTAGAGACACCCTTCCCCCAGCACAGCCTGGATCAGGAGGATGACTGCAGGCGGCTGCCCTCCACTGCTATGCCTCTGACATCTGCAGGGCTGCTCACAGGCTCGACAGAGCCGTCCTCCCAGGGCTCAGTCGTCAAAACAACCTGACTCCTACCTCGATCTGACTAGCGGCCGAGCTGCCGAAAGACAAGAGCAAGAACGCTGCCAGGGCAGTCGCAGAGCGGTTGAGGAAATAGGCGGCAGCCATGTTTGCCGGCTTCAGACTTCCGGCGCCTGGAGAGGCGGAGCAAGTGCCGTAAAGCAGTGGAGCGGGTCGTCGGGTGTTTTGTTTTGCGACGCCGTCGCCACCTTGTAGAGCCCCGCCCCTCAGCAGTTTTTAGAACTAGGCGCTTGGGCTTGAGTTTCCTGAGTAGCTGAGAAAAGATAGATGAAGAATATTGATTTTATATCCTTGATTGCGTTTTCAATTTTTGTATTGTAAAATGATACATTTAAGAAGAAAATGTTGAAAGATGAGGAAAACCTGCTAGTCCACGAACTTTAAAAGAGCTATTTCCCTTTTTTGCATCGTGCTACCAGTTGTTTAAATGGCAAGATGTAGCGGAAAAAACAAGCGTTTTGTCACAAAAGATGATGAATTTCGAGAGGAAATGTGGATGCGTGCTGAAACTCAAACTTCGGGTCCATTATTAACAGGATATAAGCACGAAGGCGTTCAGTGTTTGTTTCTTCCATTTATTGTGTAATTTTGGAGGTAAAACTTACCCCAAAGAAAGATTATGTGCATGTAGCACACCATTTTCTTTCTGTATACCCTCAATTTTAAATTTTACTTTTCGTCTAGTATGACATAAATGTTCCCATGCTTCATGGTCTTCACAATTTTTAACAGTGGTAATACGAGATTTTATCCATTATTGATAGATTCAGCCAAAGAGATAATTAATTGCCCCTCTACTAAGAAAAGCAAGTCTTCTAAGTTTTACTATGAAAATAATATTTTGAAGAGTATCTTGTGTACTTGGCGTATCACACCTCTGGAGTTGTTTTCTTGGGATGATTTTCCTGGAAAGCGAATCTTGTGTTAAAAGATTTGAAAATATTTTAATAGCAGTCCAGATGTTGCTTTCCAAAATGTACAAACTTAGTGTTTTCAAAATATGCAAGCTAACAATAAATTATGCCATTTTCCCCCTCATATTCCTTGGCATAAAAATGTTAATCTCAATGCTGTCAATTTGATTGGTATCAATAGTTGCTGGTTTTATTTCTATTTTCAAACTATATGTCTTCTGATGTGAATTTGCTATTTATATCTTCATGTTTTACATAAGAATTTGAGTAGCTTTATAAAGAAATAACGTTAATCCTTGCCACCTATTATGCTTTTGCTTCTTCCAGTTCCATTGTCTTTTTTTCCATTTGTTTCTTTTGTTTTGCTGTTTGAGAAAGGTTTAACGTTAGGTAGTCAAACTTAAGTTTCCTCTATGTGAAGCCTAGAATACTAGCCCTCTACCAGAATGTTTTTCATTTATTCATCAATTCAACAAATATTTATTGAATGATGATAATATACCAAGATATTTGAACAAAAAAATACTTGAAAAGTTCTTGTTCTCATGAAGTTTACATTTCAGTAAGAAAAATACAATAAGGGAAAAAATGAATACAGTAAATTCACACAATGACGCAAATTGGGTAAAGTGGTAGAAACCGAGGGAGGTGTCTTTAGGGAAAATTCTCTGTAGAGGCAACTTTTAACCTGAGACCTTAATGACAAAAAGGAGGTAGCTACGCAAACATGGGCAGTTTCAAAATTTTAATTTATTCATTAGTTTTATTTTCTTCTTATTTTATCTTTAACTCTTACTGTCTGGAATATACTTTGGTCTATGCTGTAAGTTTTTGGCTAAATTAACCATTGCTACATAACAAACCACTCAACTTTGTGTTGTGTCCAAGCTCCAAGGTTAACAAGGTTAACAATCCATACAGGGAAACCTGATTCTCTTGAGGTCATTGCTGTGATAACTAGCACTTCTTTTGTGGAAATTAGTATTCTGCTTGTCCAACAAAAGTTTCCGTGTAAACCTTACCTGTCCCATTGCCTCATGATAATTCTTTACTAACTTCTCAAAAGAAATACAGGATTTCTGACCATTCTGTGATCTTCTATTATAATACATATCTATTTTGAAGCTAACATATATTACTTTAATTGTTGTTGTCTCAAATATTTATGTTTTAATAACATTTCAGTGTACTTCCTTTTTTAGAAAAAAAAATTTAAAAATGAAACTTTGATTTTACCTGGTAATTTTCCACCTAAATTTTATAAAATTTTTCACATTATAAGAAAAAAATGCTACTTGAAGTTTTAAATTGGGACTATATAAAATTGTTGACACATTTGAGAGAAACTAACATCTTTATATTTTCTCTTCCCATCTGGAAATATGGGATTCTTTTACTTATTTGTATTTTCTTTTTATAATTTCTCAATAAAACTTTAAGACACAAATATCTATAATTAAACTATTTCACAAGTATTTTTAACATTTGTTGAAATACTTAGTGGATTTCTTTTTTCTTTAAATATATACATGAATATTATGTGTCTATTGTGTTTACTGTCTGTAACATTCATGATATATTTGAATCAGTTATTGTTAATATGTAGGATATATTTTGTGTCCAACTGTTTTTTCATTATTTTAATAAGAATTATTTTATAACTTTAGTATTGACATTCGTTAAAAACTTTTGTTTGATGTTTTCCTTTTATAATCTTAAAATAATACCTGAATTATCTTTTTGTCTGTTACTTTACAGCATTATTTCTTTTTCATAGCGATGTTATGACTCAATATTATGAACAGTGGCAGCAGCAACTTTTCTTATGTTGTTTTTGTCTTTAAACTAATGATTAAGCACCTTTCCATCAAAGTCTATCTTTAGTACTTGGATCAGAATACTCACTGAAATATTTAAAAAGTAGATTCCTATTTATCTTTGTTTTTTACATTGTACCAATGATTTGTCAAGTACAGGCTACAGCTAGCTTCATACCTAAATAAAAGACACTTCAGACCTAATTAGAGAACACATGAGATAGCACTGTTTATAATTTGTTTAGTGAGAACAGTTAACTATAGTCTGTGCTTAGACTAGAATTCCATTCAGTTGTTCATTAAATTGTAAAGTTATTCAAGTAAGTGAATTAATTAAGACCTAGCTTGGCAACTGGAAGAGAAAACAAGCATTTGGTTGCTCAAAATTACACAAATGCACACATGTGTGGCTTATTTAATAAAAGTATATATAGCTGACCCTCACAATAAGTCACATCACAAAGTCTATTCATGCTGTTACTGAAGTTGTTCTTCAAATGATTATTACAATGAACCTCACTGACTCCAGGATCAGTTTATTCTTGCCACCTCCTCTTACCTCTGCTGCTTCTATGTCTTCTTTTCCCTTTTATTCTGTCTTACTTTCTACACAATTATGTTCTCCCATGACTGTGTTATTCATTCTCTCAACTGATATTCATTAAGCATCAGCTATGTACCAGACATTGTCCTAGACACAGACAACACAGGAAAGACTAAAAATTAAGGAAGTTCCTGGCCACACAGATTTCACAGTTCAGGGGAGCCAGATGCTAATAGTAGAAGCATTTAAACAAATGTGGAAGTCTAAGAGCAGAGTTCCTACTGAGGAAATCCAATCATTTAAGGAAAGCCAGCATAGATTTCCCTGAGGAAATGGATTGAGCTGAAATTAATAAATTAATAAAGTCAAAGATGGAAGAGATGGTAGAACTGTCTGGGTAGAGCAAACTCTCTTTACAGAGCCTCGTGGAGAAGGGACTTAGCATTATTAGCGGATATTTTAGAATGACACTGGTCTTGCAAAAGAGCAAAAGCAAGAGTGCTGTGGGATAAAGTTGAGTTGTGGAACAGGTGCCACCTTTCTTCTGGGCTTTGAGGATGAGGGTATGGATGTTATCTGTACCCTAAGAGCACTACAAAAACTTCCAAATGGGAGCAATTGTACTGGCCCCAGTGAGGTGAATAGGTACAGGCTGGGCATTTGGAAGCTATCACTATAGTCCAGGCAATGGTAGCTTAGACCAGGATGCTTAGAATTAACCAAAATGAAGAGAACCAGTATGGATTTTAAAGTTACAACCAAAAGAACATGACGCCTGGCTATATTTTGGAAGTAAGGGAGAGGGCAGTTTCTAGGATATCTTGAATATCTGGTGTGTATGACTGAATGCACAGTACTGCCTCTTTTTAAACATAGGGACCACAGGAAATGGGTCAGGGTTACAATTTTACAATTTATACAAGTGAAGTCTGGTCTAAATATTTACTCAGAGCAATTTGGAAGAAAAACACATATAAATCTACTACAAATACCTTTGCACTAAATGAATGTTACAAAATAAAATGAGTGGAAAGAATAAATTTAATCAGGATCAAAACAGGTCCCCTGAGAGAGATTTTTCAAGGGGTTTGCATAGCTTACATGATACAGGCAAGTCTGTTTGCTAAACCAATCAGAATGCAAAGTATGTGATTTAAGAATTTCATACCGACCAGCCAAAATATTTCTTTTGGAAAGATTAAATTCAACAAGAGCAAATTAAATATATAATAAAATACAAGTATGAAAAATAATTAAAATCAAGAACTTTCATTCCAGTGCATTTGTATCATTTCATTGTTCTGATTTTGAGAGTGGATTCCCTGTTTTAACTTGGCCTGAAATACTTCCCTCCTTTCAGAGGGCCATTTAACAATAGTAGTTATTCTGCTGGAATCCATTTCTACCTCATGACCCTTTAATTAGCTTTAGACTAACCCATAATAAATTTGCTTCAGTGTAAAAGTAGAACAATTACTCCTGAAAGTCTCACTTTGTGAATGCTGTGCTGTGATTAAATGCCATAAAGACCTGAACATAAAGTTGTGTCAAATGTGTATGCAGTTCAAACAGTGCTATCTCCCATGTCAATCAAGAAGCCACTAGTTGTATTAATACAAAACTATGTGATAGAGTTCACTTCTCCATGAGCTGTGAATTTGGTACCAGTGCAACTGATTTTGTTTAACTGACTTTGATTCAGCTGGACATTGGAAATGTTCATTAAAGAACTTGTGAGATTCTCTGAAACCTCAGGGACATTTAATAGATATTTTAATTACACTATGTGTTATAAGTGGGACATCCTCAAAGACCTCTCTTAGGAAGATATTAGAGTGTTTGGAAGAAGAGCAAGGAATGTCTATCTTTTATAGAAAATTGCTAGAAGGATTTTATTGACAAAGTAATGGCTCATTAAAGAT